CCCAACATTAGGCTGAGCCAGGCACGGTTGCTAGGCAACCATAATTCATGGACTGGCAATAAATGTATGTTAGCATGAAAATATAAAACTGAGGTACAGAGAAGAGAGAAACTGAGACAGACAGCGACTGAGAAATAAGAGCTTACCTTTATTCCCTTCAGCCCATTAAAATAATTATCTGTATTGTTCCGCATTTAACAAGCAGGTTAATCACAATCAAAGAGTCTGAATCTGAAAAAAAACTGAATATATTTAAAAGTTATTTACAACAGTCTATTCACCTAAAGTCAAAGCTGACAGCTTTCTGTGTTTTTTCAAAATGATACTTAATATTACAGCAGGTGCACTTCATATGGAGACAAGAGACAAAAAGGCTGAAAGATCAAGAGTGGGAGATGAGAAAGTTTCATTCTTAACAAACACTGGAGCAATCTTTATTACTGAGACTGACAAGTACTGATACTGTTTCCTCTGAACAACCTTTTTTTTTTTGACAGTTCAAATAACTATGAGTCTCGAGTCTGGCTTTCATTTCTTTACTGTATCACACAGTGAGCCACATGTGAATGTCACCGCTAAAAGCAAGAGTTTCACTTTACTGTGAAACGAAGATTGAACATAAGAAGAAAATGTCAGATCAACCAGCTGCCATGATTGGCCTTCAAATAACACTGCCCTGGGCAATATCCTCTTTCACACAGTTAAGCTGAATAAACCATTAAAGAGTACAGTTAAAAACATATAAAGCTGTCAGTTTCACTCTCTTGGAGTCTCCATTTCCTTGAAATAAGTACATTTGTACTTTTTGTACCTAATTGAAAAGATAATTTTGCAATCATGTGTTTTAGTTTATAGATTTCCATCCATCTTCTTCCACTTATCCGATTTAGGGTTGTGTTGGGGCTGGAGCCAATCCCAACTGTTAAAGGTTGAGAGTCAGGGCACCAGTCTGTGGCAGTGCTAACACAAAGAGAGAGAGAGCTATTCGCCCCTACAGCCAGTCTACCAGTTAACCTAACATACAGGACCCAGAGAGAACCCACACACATGCATAGATTCCACACAGAAAGGCCCCATCTTGCCAGTGGATTTGAACCCTTGGACCCTTTTGGTATAAGACAACAGTGCAAACCACCGCACCACTGTGGCATCTGTTTAAGGAATCATTAATATTATACTGAAATGTCTATACTTAATGCTTTACTAAACTTGTTGTTAATCCAATTTTAGTCCAGTTAACTAAACTATTTACACATTTTGACTTCTAGTAAATGGAAAATTGCTTTTTGAGTTTGTAGTCATATGTGTCTCTGTGTGCAAGTCTTTTCAAAACCTAAAGAGTAAATTTTCTTTCCAGCATGTCATTGTTTTTCTTGAGTGGGATATGATTTCATCGTTGTAATAGGGCTATAAAAATACACACACTGATCTTGGGCTACATTTAGGCCTAACGCAGCTGAGTTTACGATGATTATTTTTTAGGCTAATTATAAGCCATTGAAGACCAGACATATTTAGCCCAGAAAAGAACATCCACAGATGCTGATATTTAGGACTTGGCAACAACTCCGTGTATGAAGGGTATGTAGTTAGATTATTAAAGAGGTTTTTAGAGGGAAATAAATGCAAAACCCTTTATTGCGATGGTCAAATCTCCTCCATCTAAATGTACATGTGAATTACCAAAATATGGCTAAATACAAAAACCAAAACTGATTTAAAGACTTAAAAATATCAACAAATGTCTCTGAGATCATCCATGGAAACACATTTGTCACAACAAGTTTATCTTGACTAACACAATAAATAAAGAAAAGCTTGGCAGTGGATTTCAAGCTTCACATTGTCACACAAACAGCAGTTCAGATTGTGGCTGCCATATGCGTCGTGTTCCTGTAAACTCTGATCACCCAACCCAATCAACCGCACATTACCGAATTTAGTCACCCACACAACATATTTTGTTCATTAAGTGCTGTCAAACCCGGTATCGAACTATACGTGAATGAAAAGAGAATCTACATCTGAGTGTGTGCATATACTTTTCAACATCAAACATGGTAATGTGACCTCATTGTGTGCTTTTTAAACATTTTCAGCACATTACACACACACACACACACACACATATATAGTAACATAAAATTTAAATATCCAAAATCCATTTTCTTATCATTTAATTGATTTTAATCATGTGAATTATGTTTATGCTTTTAATCAAGCATGATTTGATGGTAAGTGGAACGAGATGATGACTGTTCATCTAGGGCAAATGTAGTGTGTACCTCACTTTTAATGTGAGATGTTGTTGGAACAAAAGTTCAGTCAGTTTTTCCAAGGTAAATACATAACAACTAACAAGGGAACTGTTGTATCCATGCTGAGGATTATATGTTTTACAGTAAAATACCATCTAACATGTCAAAAGAAAAAAAAGATTTTGTATCAGAGAGAAAAAAATAAAAATCTACAAAAATGTAATTGAATTGAAAAATAACTTAAATACACTACACAAGGACATAAAATTGGAAAGAGTAAAAAACAAACACTAAATTCTTTAATTCAAATAGGTTCCTATCATCGTACTAAGGCCAATGTTACAGCAAATTGTGACTTTCCTTTAACATTGACTCCCTGCTTTGTGTGTGCAGAACCCTCAGTGTAAAGTCACAGAACTCAGACTTCAGCCAAAAAAAGAAAAAGAAAAAAAAAGTCTACTCAGACTCATTTTGCGTAGGTCTGCATTTTTTGATTCCATCTGAACTTGTGTGTACAAACCACAAGAAGAGCCATACAAACCTTGTGTTTGTGAGTAGACACCAATTAGAACAAAACTGGCTTAAAGTGCCTGCACCAAGGTCTCGCATCAAATGTAAAGGGGCGATTTTGAAATGAATCATGTAAAGCTACTCTGGTATTTATATTCATAAATCCATCTTTGAAATTGTATTTCCCTACTAGTAAAGCATAAATGCCAGGTGTATACACAGTGACTTATTTGGAACCACTTACCACAGACAGAGTGCTAGTCATTGGGCCACCATCCCGGCTGAATGTGCTTCCATCTTGGCTCAACATAGTGGCCCCATCCTGGTTACCAGGCATGCTGGGCAAATCCATGCCCTGCAACTGGTAGGGGTGGTGTGGAGCTGAATTGGAGGGAGGGTCCAGAGAGTGATACGGTCCAGACGGGGAGTTGTGGGGGAGGTGAGGGGGTACCATGTGATCTGGCAGGGTAGGAGTGATGGGTGGAATGTTGAAATCATCATCGCCCAAACCACTGACTGGGTATGACTAAAGACAGACAGGACAATGAAAATAAACAAATACAGTTTAGTCAGGGTCACTGTATTCAATAAAATATTGAGTCATCATTAGCAACATGGTTCTGCTCAGGGATTCCTTGTTCTGTCACACATGGAAAGTACGAGACGGAAAGAGCAGCTGCAAGATCCCAGCACAGAACAGAGCAGGTATCCATGACAACAGACATGACAAAGATTGCATCAAAATAGAAGCTGCAGTGGAGGTGGGTTGCAAAGAAGCTTGCATGTATGCAGTAACATTGGGCAGGGTAAAGTAGCTTAAACAGCACACCTTACATGTGTAAAAGCTAAATCACCATCAGCTCATGACTGCTGGTATGATATCAGATTTTGACTTCATGGCTGACCTGAACTAACAAGCGTCCTGCCCCTTTGCTCGTAGGGGGCAAGAAGCCCCCCTACGAAAAAGCTATTGGCATCAGCAGGAAGGAAAACCTCACTTTTTCCGATCGCGGCTCAAGAGTTGGTAGTTCGTCTTGTAATCGGAAGGTTGCCGGTTCAAACCCCCGGCTCGGACAGTCTCAGTCGTTGTGTCCATGGGCAAGACACTTCACCTGCCGCCTACTGATGTTGGCCAGAGGGGCCGATGGCGCGATATGGCAGCCTCGCTTCTGTCAGTCTGCCCCAGGGCAGCTGTGGCTACAACTGTAGCTTGCCTTCACCAGTGTGTGAATGAATAGTGGAATTGTAAAGCACTTTGGGGGTCTCGAAAAGCGCTGTATAAATGCAACCCATTATTATTATTATTATTATTATTACTTTTAATAGGAATCAGCCTCTGACAGAACCAGGCTCAGAGGCTGGGGTGATGAGAAGTAGGCATTTATTTAATGCCAACTAGACTTCTAATTTTATTAAGCCAATGTACATTGCTGTTGCCTCATGGGCACTTCATTGGTGTTGGAAAAAGTCCAACCATCCATCGTTGTTTCCTTAGAGTGTTGAATCTACACTGTACTTTGAACAGATGTGGGCATCCATGTGGCTTGCAAATACGGGATATGATCGCTGGAGGGTATAAACTAAACCATCAGCTATTGTGGGCTGGCGCTGAGATCAGCTGATTTACCAGAAATGCTGAAATTCATGGTTTTAGTGCTTCTTAATATTATCTTATTAAACAAACAAACATTGCTATGAGCTTTCTGAAATGTTATGGATGTTAAAGTCAGGTGTGGAGTAGCTGACATAACATGATGGGCAACACTTAAAACTTGAAGTGACTGGGCTATGTTGCTTTTAGCAGAGTGCACAACTTAAAGAAAATCAATAATAATTGCATAGAGGTCTATAGGAGTACAAGAGTCATAAAACATTACTGTCAGAGTTATTAAATGACTGCGAGTGGAAAAACTACACACCATTGTTTCCTCAGACTCCAGTCTACAGCTCCGTATTGTGTCACGCAGTCTGTCTTCGTCAGCCACAGCTTGTATCATAGACTAATTATCGCTAATGATATTCCCCGTCTTGAAAGAAAAGCCTCGTGAACAAATACTTGCTCATTCAGTGACACAACAATACAGTAATTTATATGTACAAGCCCATTTTGCCTGAGAGAATAGACACAGGCAGGTTTTTGTGTGTAAAAAATACAAAGGTGCTAATCTGACATACCAAAAAAAAAACAAAAAACAGGAGCAGTCCCCATATCATAACAAATTATGCTGAGAGCAAAGACACATGAGAGGGAGACATGAAGAGGGAAATGGGTGAGAGAATCATGCAAGAGGAGTGAGAGATAAAGAGAGGGAGAGAGGCAGTGTTAGAGAAGCCCTCTCATACTAATCTGACAGAGGAGATCTTTTATAGAGACTGACAGTCTTTTCTGCTTGGCTAGCCACACCAGTCTCTCCATCTCTTACTTTTTTGCTCTTCATCTCTCACCATCCCTCTCCTTCCACCCCTCTTTTGCTCTCTCTCCTAATCTCATCCTCAATTTCCATTTCATCTCTCACTCTTTTCTGCTCTATCTCAAACCCCCATGCAGTGTTGAGTTACAAGTTGCATGACTTGTGAACTAAACGGTGAGTTATACAGTATAGGTTCACTGTGGAACTCACTGCCACCGTGCTAAAACACGGTTCCACTTATAAGTTTCCGCTTCAATTTAATATTTAGGAAACAAGATATAAAAATAAAACAAAATGATCAACAATTTGAAAAAAATACTTTCATTTCCCTTCATTTTGTGCTCATGTTCTCTATATTTTATTAATAACCAACAACTCATATTATATGCCATGAAGCTTGTTGTGCAGACTAACAAAAGCTAACTCACATCAGTGAGTCAAACTGCTGCACTGGGTCAGAGAACACAGCAGATATGCATCGCTCCCTCTCACATCTTTCAGTTTTAGGCAAATTTAAAACTACTTTGATTTGGCTACAATTCAACAGTCAATCTACAAAACAAGTTTGTTAAATAAGTCTTTATGGGTGTGTCATGTAATCCCAGTATCAGCTTAGAAGGGCTACGAAGTAGCACCAGCACTGGCATTACCAGCGCTGTCTTGACTGTGTCTTTTCATAACTTCACAGCCTGAGTACTTATCAACTTCTTACACGAGTAGCAAAGTTTTAGGTGCCAGGGGCATATTTTAAGATGCTTTTGCACATTCTAAACAGTGCAAAAGCAATTAAGTCAAGCAATGTGTCATACGGTGGAAGCGAAATAGATAAATGCTGCATATAGAAAGAGTGTTTTATTAATCCCAAAGGGGAATTGCACTTTAAAGGAGCATCAAAATGTTGAATATGGATTGAAGATTTGCATGATTGAATAGAGACGCCATTTATTCTCTGATACTTATTTTGGCTCTGTCCTGTTGCTGTAAATACAATCTAGAGCACAACTCTGAATAGTCCCAAAATAAATGCAATTCAGTTTTCAGTAAACTGTACTAAAACAACAAACACAGTCGCTAGCCATACTGAAATGTTACCAAGCTATTTCATTAAATAAAATTATGGACAACAATGTTTTAATTGACCAAAATCTGGTCAGAAACAGTAAATCTGTGAAGCCAAAATGAAAATAATCGGGCTCTATAGACGAGAGACAATTGGAAGATAATTTAGGGAAATGTGAAAATGAAAATAAATGATAAATAACTGAATAAATGAAAGATCAGTAATGACATATAACAGGATACAGTACCTCACATAATGCAAATCAACTGCACTGTTAATGTTCTGTGACTTAGTAATTTAATCTGAAATGTTAGCCTTTAATTATTGTTAAAGAGGATCAACAACCAACATGTAACTTTAGCATCTAATTAAAGAAATGTACCACTCATTTTCACTGTTGTACTCATCCATCTGTTTCTCTGCAACTTTTCAAACTATTCATGGTTCTCCACAGCTTACACTCTGCTTACGATGAATATCATTATATTCTATGTTTTAACAACATTTCACAAATAGTACATTTCCCACATATTCTCTGTGATCAGCCCCACACCCATTTTATTGTTTACAGTGCATGTGTGGTCAAGTGCAGTTCAACTATAGCTTAATTATAAATGGCACAACTATAACAGTTTCGGGAGGCATTATGTTACCATTTTATCATCAGTCTCACCTGACTAAGGTGTGTCTCGATTTCTGAAAGCAGTTCTTGCCTATGCTGTCTGTGGACTTTTGTGAGGTGATTTCTTTTTAAAAATAACCCACAAGGGAAAAATAGCTAAATCTTGCAAGAATGTTGTTAAAGTTGCGAGAGTACGTGACACTTCTACATTAAAATAAAACAAAACTTTACATACCAAACCATTAAGTAAAACTTGATCTAGTGCAGTAATTTTACTAAAACCTGTGTGACCAACTACATAGCCCTACAAGCGTATTGGGTTTATCGGGCAACCATCAAGCCGAATGGTCCGTTTTCTTGGATCACTGTTACACTGTTGAGCTCTGAGCTGTGCATAAATTATACTGCTTGTCTGTCTGCCTCTCTCCCTCCCTCTCCAACTCTGTCATTCCTTCAACTTCTGCATAAATTATTCTTCTCCTTCTCTCTTCCATTCATGTTGGTAGTACAATAGACTGTTCCTTGTGCAATGGGAGCTCCTAGAAAGACTAATGTAGTCAGGATTAAGTCCTTTCCCACATGTAGTGTTCGTGTTACAAATGCATGTCTCACAACTCCATGTCGATTTCATAAAATTTAAAAAAAGCACATATGATTGTGAGTAATATGTTGCCAGCATTTACAGAAGGAGGTTATCAAATACATCTGCTGCAGACAGGTTGCTGATTTGTGAAGTATCCAATGGGCATTCAGTTAGAAATTTCTTAAATTTACAATACTGTGAGTTGCTTAAAAGTCAATATTCAGTATGACCACTTTTCTTCTTCAGCACAGATTCTTATCTTAGGCAAGCTTTCTTTCCAAAAGCTCTTCTTTGGCTGTTCTGTTCTCCGTCAAGATAATGTTATACATGTTATATCAATAATGTTAAGGTCTGGTTCCAGGGGATGTCAGTTCTTAACTGATGGTAATCTATCCAGGTACGCTTTTATTCCATTGGCTGTGTGTTTTTTCAGATCATTGTCCTGCTGAAAAATGAAGTTGTTGTCAATCAGACACTTTCCAGATTGTATTCCATGGTGCATCCAAATCTGATGGTACATGCAATCATTATTTCATCAATATTGACAAGATCTGCAAAAGCACTCGCTGGAATGAAGCCCCAAACCACAACTATGTTTTACAGACGACTGTAGACACTCAGCGTTGTCTCTGTCCTTTGATGATAGTTTGAACCAAAAGTTTTAAAAACGGGATTTATCCTTCATAAGACCTGTTCTAGGACTGATGGATTATAGCAAAATAAAAATATAATCATGATTATTTTACTACAGTTATTCATTTACTTAACAATCATGTCGTTAATGAACTTTACAAAATGTGCCTTTTAACAGTTGATTGCCTTGAACTTTAAATGTAGCCTAATTAACATGAAAAACAAATAAATGGTAGAAATAGAAGGTGAAGGTGGTGGGGGACACAAGGTCATATATCAAGGTCTCATAAGAAGTCAGACTCCGATTAATGGCTGTTTCACTGTAAAGCCAATTATGCAGCTGGAGCAGTTGCTTCCTGCAAGTCTTTGGTGGCCTACAGTCTCTAGAGTGGGGTGATTAGGGCTATGGTGGATTACCTGTTGCCCTAGCATACATGCACAGTAGTCACACAGATAGTCGGTCAACAGCCAACCAACACCTCAAACACATACAGCCAAAACTGGACCACACAAGACCCTTGATGATCCGGAGACAAACAGTGAGTGAATTTGGGCTTTTAGATAGAGGTGAAAGTGCACCAGGTTTAAAATGAAAATCTAATTTTATCCCTTATTCATTATCACTGAAGGCCAAAAATCATAGAATTAAAATTCTACTGACACATGGTGGGGTGGTAATTAGAGTTTTTTAATGTCCACTAGTGGCCAGCTGTTACAGCAGCTATACAGCAGTGTGCGATGCATAAAGCCCTGGTGTACGTGGGTGGGGATTTACAGAAAATGATTCCACTGTGCTGTGATTCTTTCCTGTGTCTTCATAAAAAAAAATAGTGCGTGTAGAAAGATGATGTTTAAATTGATTGTGCAGAGTAAACTGAAGAGATACACATACACTGACTGTATCCTCTGAGAGCTGGATGTAAACACACTCACACAGAAGCTACAGTATGGTTTTATGAATGCTGAATTTCTCAGTCAGTTGTCTTCCTGATAAAACGTGGGAGCTTGTTTAAGAGGAAGAGAAACAGACAAAGCAAAGAACATCGAAACAAAAGTGTTTTTTAGATTTTGGAAGACTTGGTGCCCCGACATATCTTCCACTGACATATTAAATTTGTAATTCACTGATACATCATCATTTTCCACACTGCAAAACACAGACTGAAGAGAAATGTTGCATGAAGATATGTTGACGAGTTTTACTGGAAACAAACGGATATCTTAAAATAAAATGTAATAAATAAATAAATAAATAAAACCATGAACTAACAAAGGTAAAAAAGGCAAGAAAACAAATCTGTCAGACTCTTTGATTATAGTGTTTGTTGTGTAAACTGAACAGACAAAACCTAAAGGTCAAGGTTAAAGCTATCTAATAATAAACATCAAACCTCTTTTGTATGATACACAGCTCAGATTTTCATGAAAGCACATGAAAGCTAAATTATACGAGATGTACAGAGACTGTTTTTGTTGTTTTTGTCTCAGATGCACTCACTAAACCATATCTTGCTGCATCAGTAAATATATATGATGACTATATACCTCATATGATGAATAAAAGCTGATTTTTCCTTAGACCAGGTCAAAATACGCACAATACAACGTACAAAGTGCATGGTTTAACCACAATTAATGACCTTTGACTAATACTATGATTAGAGGCTGTTAAGTCATACTTAACTGCACCACCATCAGACATGGAAAATAAAAATAAGCAGCATCAATGTACAACTGTAGGTGCAAACATATTGATCCCAGAGATCAGGTGTGCATTAAGGTTTAAATGATTAGAATGACTTTTCCCACAAGGTTGGCTAGTGTAAGCCAAAGCGTCACAGTTTGGGAACTCACCAATTTCTGGTCAGTCTGTTCGTTTAATAAAATAAATATGTACAAGTGAAGTCTAAAAATTCAAACTGACTTCAATCTGGGCGTGAGTTTTCTAGAAATTGGGGCAAATGCCTTCCACCTAACTTAGTTGCTGTAAGCATAATGTGCAACTTCAGTTGAATTCTGGGTATTGCAGGCTTTGACAAAGAGATAGTGCTGCAATGATACCAACACTTCAGCTGCATAAATTCCCATCTGATTTTGCGCAAGCGTTATAGATGTGAAATGCTAAATTCCAAATAATCTGCAGTCAATGCTTTTACTTGGTACAGTTTTCTGTGGACACCTGGAAGTGTTTGGTTTTGTGCATGTAGAGGTGTGTGTCTGTATGAACATTCACCCAGGGCAGGCGATGTGTTTCGGCCATGTGTGCGTCTCTCCTCCAGTGCTGTGAGGGTGGTGTCACCTTGTTGAGAGGGTGAGGGGGATGTGGCACACGAAACTGTGGGAAGAATCACAAAGACAAATACAAATTCAAATGGGCCCAGAGGTCAGAGGGAGGTCAGAGGTCAAATCAAAAGGTCATGAAAAGCAGCAAGGAGAAAGCAAGAGACACACACAGAGACAGAGAGAGAGATCAAGTTTTCACTCATACAGAGGAAAACACAAGTAAAGTTCTGTCTTTATAAATGGCTAATATTGCTTTGCTTTATGTGAAAGTTTGGCTGCAATGATACTGAGGTGATAGAAGGAGCAGAAAGAGAGAAAGAGAAGCTGTAAATAAATTGCTTGTTTGTTTCCTCCACAGCTAATCCCCGATAAGAAAAGGTTACCCGGTGCTGCACAGCTGCAATGAGACCGAGACAAACACATAAAAACATCATTGTGACACAGTGCTACAAACAGGCTAGTCACTTTGAGTAAATGTGGCGATCACCACGTTCTTTTTAACACCACTGTGCTGCTGTGATTCATTTCTATGCACTCACATTTCAAACTCTCCTGCTAACACAACAACCACCGACCAAAAACTAATTTGTTATTGGATAAAAACATGTTCACATTATCACATACTGTAAAGAAAGTTATTTTCATGATATAAATCCATCTTTTCTCGAATACATCCTCCATACTCTTGGATTTGCAGGTCAGTTTTTCTATAAATTGTACTTCTTGTATCATACTGGTACATTTACTTCACTCAGCAGTTTAGTTTTTCCCACCCTTTTATTTGCCTCTGTGCTGTTATGCTTGATATTCTGTATCAGCCCACGAATCTTCATGACTTTGCTGATGCCCTGACTTTTCCTCTAGCACTACCATGAGGTTTAAAGTGAGTTTTCTTTTGTTTTGTTTTGGGGGGGGTTTAACACCTAGCACCATTATCAGATGATATATATATAATCATCTGTTCCATGATGTTGTAAACCAGCAACATGGAAAAGAGGGTCAGATGACTTCTCATAAAATTCTGCTGCACTGCGTGGAAGTATTAACAGCATGTATGTGAACTTTAACCTGCATCAAAAGAAGACAATGTACATGTGAAAGGTCATAAAGAGCACAAAGTTCCACACATGTCAGAGGCATTTAAAATACCATTTGGTTACTGAGACAGCTTCAAATGGCTCGCAGCTACATTAAGATAGAACAGATAATGTTTGACCAGTGCGTGTTTTCTGAGTGTTTTGTTCCTGTTAGACTAACTACTGTAGGAATCAGAATGTAACTCTTAAATCAGTGCTGGGTGCATTTGTCTGTAAAGCAGTAATGTGAAGATTTCTAAATTCAGAAATCAAGTTGCAGTTACTAATCATTATACAGCTACTCTCTTACACAAAAACGTTTTGTATACGCATGAATGATGTACAAAAAAAAATTCCCATGGGCATGAGATTCCAGACCAATTAATGTTTGAAGAGTGTCAATTTTCACATTATTTAAAGTTTTCTACAATAAATATAAGCATGTGATGGTAAACACCACCCTCGCTTTCCTCATCACTGCAGTGTCCATAATTAGATGGTATCACATTACAGTGATTTTGTAAAGCGGAACAGGAAGCCAACGCATTATATTTCTGCATCGATGTCTTGTCTTACCCATACTAGTTGATTAGTCTATGAATTTATTTCATAGGCTAATCAGTGAAATGAATTCAACAATTAGTCACCTTTACTTTTTTTTACCGTTACCAATTCTTTACATTACCAATTCTTTCATGTAGAATTTTCTGTAGAAAAAAAAAAATCACAACACCTTTAGACTGCAAACCTACACATATTATTTTTATGCCTTCCAAAGCACTGATTCACCTGTCTTTCTCCCTGTTTCTGCATTAATACACTAACATTACTGCCACTCCATTAACATTTCCAAAAATGACAAGGATGAGGGTCAGACTTGACTGAAATTGGTTCCATTCATCACAACAACCTGCCTTTATAAAGGCAGTGGTGATTCAATAATAAAGCCATAAATTCTTATTCCACACACACAACTTCCCATCTTCTTATGGCAAAACACTATGAATAAAACATCAAATCATGTATTTCTTTACTGCACAATATTCTCTATATTGTACTCTATGAATAATGTATCTATAGTAGTGCATCTTATTAATATAGGCTTTGCTTGGTGGTGAGGTAATTCTGCACTAACAAACACACATCTTAGGCTTCCCTTAGGAGCTTGAAGTGTACTTTCAAAAGCAGCAACACCCACTTGCTGTGTAGTCTGTGCAGTGTACCGTTCTAGGGCTGTTGCTAAGTTATCTTGTAACAGCTGATGTTTACTATGTTGATCTCACTTTATATAATGGAAGTGGAAATTTTCCCATTTTTCATGACCATATTTTCAGGTAAGTTGAAATTTAAATGAAAGGAGACCCTTCATAGCGCTTTTCCCCCCCACAAATCTAAAACTCAAGGATTTTAAGTTTGTATCACAGAAGACAAAGAAAAACAATTATTCCCACATTTAAGATTACCAGCAAATACTTCTGATTGACAGTGACAATTAGTTGATTAAAATCATTTTTCTATAGGGGTGCTGTGCCAGTGCAATTTGGGTTTTGGCGTAAAGAAACATATCGTTGGTATTTACAAAGACAGCGTAGTGAGAAAACTGCATATATATATA